TGAAACAAGAGATTCCTCTAAACCCAACTTTTCTTCGTATGCCTCTTAGTACAATTGATGTTGCAGCAGCTTTCATTTCGTTTGAAGAGACAAGTGGACGCGATTCGTCGAATGGTCTCATTCGCAGCTGCGACTGTCGATTCATGCGAACAGGTCCTCAACCCACCGGCCTGCAGCCCCACTGAATCCATGTTGACCTTTCGTCCGTCATGTGACGGACATGTTTTGACGATGCTTCACGAGAACACGAAGACAAGACAGTTGGCCGGCTTCAAATCCATCCACTTCTCATAATCCAACTTGGTCCACTGAACGAGGCATCTCATGGCTTGGTTGGATACCACATGATTGGTCGTAGTGATTGCTAAACAGTTAAGCGAGTTTTCACACAAACATTCACTCACAGCTTCCGGTGAGGCCAACTGACAACTGGCTTCCACTCACCTCTTTAAACGAAATGAAAGATAATCAAAGGTATGACGACCAAGATGGTATGGCCTTTTGTGTGGTCGCAGTCTCCTTTCGTTCTATACAAGTTGTTTGACCTTGTTTTCGCAACTTGGTCATGTTGGTAGGAAGACTTAGAGAAACACACCCAGTCCGGAGTCCATTGTATGATTTATCATTTCCAGAGTAGGACCGTCGACGTGGTACATTCCCACACGTTTCGCCGGCATCGTCAGTTAGTATCGCCCTTCGTAGCAGCATAGTACAGCTCGTCAAAGAGACAAGTCTCTTTTTCTACGAATGACGATACTGACTGACGATGCCGGCGAAACGTCTGGGAATGTACCACGTCGACGGTTCGACTCTGGAAATGATGATGCATACAACGGACTCCGGACAAGGTGCGTTCCTCTAAGTCGTCCTACCAACATGACCGAGTTGCAAAAACAAGGTGAAACAACTTCGAAATGAAAGATGCTCCAACAACACGGTCCGCTGCCAGTTTGTGTTGCGTCCACTTCACCAATTGCTTGCAACCAACCTTTTTCTTTGAAATGAAAAGCCAAGTCACATTGACAAAGCCGCCTGAGGCCTGGTAGGCATTACATTACGGAGGAATTCAATCAACAATCCTCACATTGCTTCGAGTTGGTACAGATTTCCATCAGTCACACTCAGTCGGCCTCGCGGCATTCGGCAATTTCCCATCCACTCTACGCCTCGGTACAGGAAAGTCTAGCAAAAGTGAATAGGGGAGGGAGGGTAGGGGTGTAGTAGCAGATCTTTGTTGTCAGGGCACAGGCAGGCTTGCGTGGACGACCATCGTGAGGATGTCAAGCCCCGTCAGTCACCTCGGTCACATCTAGGAGGTATAAATATTAATATAAATGCACAGTGAGTGTGTTTGTGTGTGTGTGTGTGTGAGAGAGAGAGAGAGTTGAGTTGAGTGGACATGAAGAAAAGCTGAGTTTGGACAAATGCTATTGTGATTTAGTGTGACTCGACTTTTATTTTCAAAGGAAATGTTGGTTGGTTGGACGAAATTGTTGCATTTGACTCACATACAGTCGAAGGAGTATTGAAGATATGAAGGCCTCTGGTATGGTCGCAGTCTCCTTTCGATTTATACAAATGGGTTGACCTCTTAGTCGCAACTTGGTCTTGTTGTCAGGGCGACTATGTAAAAGGTACCTAGTCCGAAGTGGTCTGCCATATTAGTTGTCATGATTCCCAGCATCAGACAGTAGACTTGGTACATTCTCAGACGTTTCGCCGGCATCATAGTCGGCATCATCAGTCAGTTTCGCTATTCGTCGCACCAACCTACGGACTCGTAAAAGAGACAAGTCCGGCAAATGGCAAAACTGACTGATGATACCGACTATAAAGCCCGGAGAACGTTTGAAAATGTACCAAGTCCACTGTCTGATGCCGGTAATCATGACAACTACGATGGCAGACGACTTCGGACTAGGTGCGTTCTAATAAGTCGCCCTGACAACAAGACCAAGTTGCGAAAACGAGGTCAACCAACTTCTATAAATCGAAGGGTTATTGACTGCTGTAGAGTGAATACGGACCGATTGTGCCAACAAGTCCTGCGACCCCGATGAGTGTATGCTAGTCTGTAGTAGTATATGAGTAGTATAGTATAATGGTGCGCTATTTCGCAGAATAAGATTTCTTGCTCTGACAATCTTTCCTCGGGGGTAGCAGGACGGTAAGCCAAGAGGGTTTGTTCGCACAACCCAACCGTTTTCACGTCCTGTCAGTCAATCTGGCCTCGATTTCTGATGCGACCAATTCACCAATTCCTCCCCCAACCAACCAGTTTCTCCTTCGAAACTAAGAGTCAGCCGACAATCAAATGAATAAAGCACCGACGGTTGCCTTTTCATACGATGCTAATTGCAACAATGCCTCAGCATATGATTTAGCTCCACTTGGCCCTGCCTCTCGAAATGTTTTCCCATCCTGAAGCTTCGACCTCACCTCACCTTCCCATCACACCACTCCCAACGGGACCCTGACTCGAGGCGAGCAGCCTGGATTTTCAACCTACTATTCCTATACGAGATGTATTCATCCAATTTCGTTTAAGGTGATGAAGGACTGGTAGAAGAAGAATTTTCCCACAATCATATGAGTTGAGCTGACGTTTCCATTGCATTTCACATAGTCTTGCTTTCCCAAAAGTTGTTCACATCCCGGCTGAGGTGGGAGGCAGTTTCGACCTCGCATCGGTCCACTCTGGATGAGAACAACTTTTGTGAAAACAAGGCTATGTGAAATTGAATAGAAAACGTCAGCTCAACTCATATGATTGTGGGAAAATTCTTCTTCTACCAGTCCTTCATCACCTTAAACGAAATAGGGTGAATACATCTCATATTACTGATTTACTGGTAGTCACGAAAACAATACTTAATTCTAAAAATATATGCCAGACTGGCCCGAGTATCAATGGGTCTTAAAACCGACTTGCTATGAATATAAGTAGTGCGGTGGTATTTAATGGGAAAATACAAGTTTAGGGTGGCGTGACTTTTCATTTCGAACGAAAAGTCGGCTGAAAGGTGTTCATTAGTTGGCTCCATCGTGAGCAGAAAGTCTCATCAACTCCGACCCATCCATATTGAGCCTTCTTCTGTCTCATAACCTCTTATTTGTGTACATATTTTTGCGGTTTTGCAAAAAGTATTGTTTTCCCTTTCTGACGATATCTGTCACGATGAGACAAAAGAACTGTCAGCACGTATGAAGTGCATTTCTGCACACTATCCAACGATCTCCGATCGCAACTGCCTCCCAGCCAAGTCTGTAAATGAAAAGTAGGGCCACACTAAACCAGTAGGCATTCTTTCAAGCTCACCTGATCCTTTACAAAACAAACATTTGCATCACCGACAATCCCACTAAAAATGTGATATAAGAAAGACCAGTTAGTCTGGACAATAAATCCTTCTTGGAGTCAAATGGTATTGTTGATGTTATTATGAGAAAATTCAACCATTCTTCCTTCTTCACTACAAACAGCTTAAAGTGATCAGGAGTCTTCGTCGAGATCTACTGACAGTCTTGAAGCCGACTTTATATGACTGACGCTCGACCAATCAGAATGAAGTAGGTGGCCTTTCAATTCGTGCAAATTTGATTCAAATGCCGGCCTAAAGGTGGCCATAAAACGAGATGAAGGTATGAAGACATGTTGGGTTTGAGGAATTCTCTTGCTTCTACACTTGTTGAGCTCACTTCCACTTTGAGCGAAAGTGTGTTGCACAGAGTTCCGCGGTTTTGACTTCATCCAAACTGGCGATTGTTCTTCCAATTTATGCAAACCAGCAAGTCATGTGGGGATAAGCAAAAGTGTCTACTTCATTATTTAACCTGAAGCTGGTTGTGAAGATGCTATTCTCCTCTGATGATGTCCGTCACTTGGCAAACAAGAGCTTAGCAACCGAAAGAAGGTTGCTGACCAAAAGTAATTCCGCCATCGTCTTCTGGTGAATCAACTTTAGAATCTCTTCGAAAGTATGAAGACCAAGATGGTGTGGCTTTTTTGTGTGGTCGCAGTCTCCTTTCGTTGTATACAAGTTGCTTGACCTTGTTTTCGCAACTCGGTCATGTTGGTAGGAAGACTTAGAGGAACGCACCCAGTCCGGAGTCCATTGTATGATTTATCATTTCCAGAGTAAGACCGTGGACGTGGTACATTCCCAGACGTTTCGCCGGCATCATCAGTCAGTCTCGCCATTCGTAGCACCATATTACAACTCGTCAACGAGACAAGTTGCGAAAACAAGGTGAAAAAACTTCTTTAGAATCTCTTCATCACACACACACACTTTCACTCGACATGAAAACGAGCTTAACAATCGAGGTGAATGTGGATTTTGTAGAAAGTTTCAAGCTGAGC